TCATGGTAACAGTGGTGGCTGGGAGCTTCAGGCCCCTTTGAAACACTGAGGCCTTGGGCAACAGCCCCATTTGCGCCCCCGAACCTCGTCAGCAGGCCTGTATTGGGTAAAAGAGGAACCTCCTTCTGACTGCAGCCAGTGGTCCGTTTGCAGCCCTGTGGCAGGAGGACGGCTGTCCCACATCACGGTCATCCTGTCTAGAGTATCTGCAGGTGCGCTGCATGAGGAGAGACCCTCTGTTCTTCCTCCAATTCTTAGGAAACATTTTTCTTTACAGTCCTGCAGGATTAACCCAGGGACTCAGAGAGGAAAGGCGAGCTAGTGATTCGGGCATTCGTCTGGGACAGGACAGCACCACGGTCACTTCCTGACTCTGCCACAGAGGTTTTGTGCGCTCTGGGGCATGTCGCTTACTCTCTGGATGACTCGGATCTCCTTCTGTGAGATGGGGATAATTAGCTGTGCCCCACAGACAGACAGAGAGAAATGTCAATAGTAAAGATTGCGAGGGGCTCGAATATTACACATGGCAAATAAGTACCTTGGATACACTCAAGTCATGGACACCAAAGATTCTGTCCTTCAATCTTTTATATCATCAATTTCTCTCTTGGTTTGGTGCTTGATAGATCTCTGTTGTTTTAAATGTTTTAAATGTATATCTTTTATATCATCAGTTTCTCTCTTGGTTTGGTGCTTGATAGATCTCTGTTGTTTTAAATACCTCCATCATATATCTTCCAGACTAAAGACTAGTCCTCACCTCTCTATGTAAGAAGGCAGCTTCCTCCCCATTCTGTGCCTCCATTAATTTTTTGTTTCCCTTCTCGGGACCGACCTTCTGTTCCATTTAGAGGTAAGGTCACTGAGTTCAAAACTCTGTTTCCCAGGGCAAAATTACTCATCACTGTGGCTTGCCCAATATCTTGTGCAATCTAGTTTCAAATGATCTAACAGCAGGGATTGCTTGGAACGCTATTCCACAAATGAACAGACCTCCAACTGTTGGGAAACATTTGGATGAACTTCTAAGTTTGCTCATCAAACGGGTTTCATGAAGTTTGAGATTTTTTTTTTTTTTTATTCCTTATTTGAAATGTAAAAACGAAACTACTGAAAAATCCAAACAGCGGCAGTAGCACTCGAATGCTAATAGGTTTGGCGATCAGAAGTTCTGACCACCCACCACTCCAGCTGAAGTCGATGGAAAGTTGCAGGAGTTCCAGGCACCAGAAATGAAGGCCTAACGTTTGTTTCGGTACGAATTAAGTATATACAAAAGCTGTTTTGTAGCTCACCTTTATGTTCTCTCTGTCCTAGGTGGTCCTAGGCTGAGTTCTTCGCTCTCACCAACCGCTTCCTCTCTGGCATCCTCTTTGCTGTGTATAAAAGAGGCCACCTGACGTTTTTCAGAATTTTCCACCTGGATTGTTCTGCTTGGGCATTTAAATTCCTGAGTGGTTTCACTTTTGAAAGCAACCACCCATAAACATAAGAATTAAAAGATATGTCCAAGTCACCTAGACATTCTCTTATGGGCACAGGACATTCAGTCTGTTCGTAATTCAGCTCAAAGAATAGGGATGTAGTAGGATTTATGTGACCCTTCCTATCTTCTCTTTGAAACGATGGTGAGACAGGAAGCCGGTTCTTCTACATACCTGCCACCGCTTAGAAACAAGGCCGTATTTCCAGGCTCAAGGTGAGTAGCGAGCATATGGCAACGGACAAGCCAAGGTCTAATGAACCCGGCTTGTTGGTCTTTGTAAGCGGTAGCAATCCCTTCCCCTTTCAAGTTTAATGGAAGTGCTGGTTTTATGATGCCGTTTTTGCTCAACCCGTGGGAGTCGCGCAAGAGGACGGCATCATCTTCGTCTCTTCCGTTGGGTGGGGTGGCCCCTGCGTGTCATCGTCTGGCGGCGGCGTTCCGCCCCTTTGTTCTGACTCTACTACCCTCATGGGAATGGCCGGCATAGGTATCCTGTAGTGTTGCCTCCTGTGGCTGCGAAGGAAAAATGAATGGGATCAACCAATGGGATCTGCAGGGATGTGAAACGTCAGTGGGGAAACACAGAAATCACATCAGAGGGGTCGCCGTGTTAGTCTGAATCTGCAAAAGCGGCGAGGAGTCCTGTGGCACCTTAGAGACTAACCGAAGTGTTGGAGCTTAAGCTTTCGTGGGCAAAGACCCACTTCGTCAGATGCAGTTAGTCTATAAAGTACCACAGGACTCCTCGCTGCTTTTACAGACATCACAGAGAGTTGTGTAACTCACACACCTAGGCTGTGTCTACACTGGCGCGATCTTGCTGCCTGTCTACACTGGCCGCGAGTTCTTGTGCAAGAACACTGACGTTCTAATGTATGAAATCAGGGCTTCTTGCGCAAGAACTATGATGCTCCCGCTCAGGAATCAGCCCTTTTGCACAACTGTTCTTGGGCAAGAGGTCAGTGTAGACAGGCAACATTAATTTCTTGCGCAAGAAAGCCCAATGGTTAAAATGGCCATCAGAGCCTTCTTGTGCAAGAGAACATCTACACTGGCATGGATGCTCTTGCGCAAAGGCACATGCCAATGTAGACACTCTCTTCTGGAAGAGTTTTTGCACAAGAACTCTTCCGCAAAAGAGCTCTTGCGCAAAATCATGCCAGTGTAGACATAGCCCTAGTGTGGTTCGTTGTCCCATGCAGTGGCACGTAGGCCACAGCAACGGTTAAGACCACGAGACTTCTACAGCATGGGCTAAGAGCCAGGAGGCTTTTAGCTCAGAGGGTAGAGGTTCCTATACTAAGTTCCAAAGGCTCCAGGTTCAAATCCACCTAGTAGTAGTTGCAGTCTTTAATTATTGACTAATTACACACCAGGAAATGGTTCTTTATTAGCCTGGGGTAGGGAGTCTTTTTTGGGTTGGGGGCTGCTGACCCACAGAAAAATCAGTCGGGGCCGCACATGAGTGAGAAGCAAAAAAACCCAACCCACTAACAACTAAACCCCGACTGAGAAGACGAAAGACACTCTTCACATTCCCCTCACACACCAGGGCGTAGGAGGGGCCAGGCTAGTAGATTTTGTGCGCTCCAGCCCCACAGGGGAACAGCTGGAGTACCAGCCCAGGCTCCCCAATGCCTTGAGGGCTGGATCCAGGCAAGCCGGGGGCCACATCTGGGCTGAGGTTCCCACGCAGTAGGGCTTTGTTACAGCCTGACTTTTGTGGGGTTGTAAACAAGCCTTCATGCAAATGAGAATCAAACCCACAGAAACTAGAGATGGAAAAGATCTACTTGAGGAGTTTATGCAACCCATCTACAGGCCTAGCAGGACATCACCGATCTCTCTGGACAATATTTGTGAGTGCTCGGAAGTGTCGAATTTTAAAATGAGTCATCTCCCGGGCCTCCTACCAAATTCCTTTGGAGGCTGTTTCACAATCTCAGCAGCTTGTGACCGTTTTCTGCTAATGGTTTGGCTCACGCTTGCCTTTCCAATTTCATTGCCTAGATTCAGATGCCTAGTTTCACCGTTTGTACATCCACTCAAAAATGTCCCTTCCGTCTGCCATGTTTACACATTGCAAATCTGTTAGTGAGTGCTATGAAGCCCTGGCAATAACGACCCTGTAAAGTTTGCGTAAGAAAACTCGGTTCCAAGTTTCTGTTTTTCTAGCAGATACAGGGCTCGGGTTTGAAAAGTGGCCTCTTTTTTGTTGGCGTGGCATTCCACTTACACCAACCTGTGTGGATTTGCCTGCCTATGTGACCAGGTTCACAAATTGGACACTTTGCTCTCTCAAGGACTCTGTTTATTCCCACGGTTAATTACGGAGGTAGCGATCTATAGGCAAAACAATGGAGACAGGTTAAAGTCCCCTTTTAAAATGGGCTCTTTGAGCTTTCTTTCTCTGTGACTCTCGGTTGCCCCTTACATAATTATTGCTCTTCTGAACTCTTTTCCCAGTGCAATACAAAAAACGATGCTAATACTGTGATTAGGACTAGGGATGTTAAATATCGGTTAATTGAATAGTCGAGTAACCTCATGAATTCTTATTGGTTAGTCGACTAGTCTATAATCCCCTGGGGCGGGGCCAGCAGCAGTGCGGGGTGGCAGCAGCCCCTGTCTGCGGTGTGTGTGTGTGGGGGGTCTGATCTCCTGGACCTGGCGTGAGCCAGAACTAAGCCAGGCTGCTGGCCAACCTGCTAAAAAAACTACTGGTTTTGGTGGGGGAGGGAGGGAAATGTGTGTAGTCTATAGCATTAACCTATGAGCTTTTGCTTATTGGTTAATCGACTACACTATTACATCCCTAACTGGGACGCCTTGGAAGTAGGTTTCATTTTAAAAATTTAAATTAACAGAACATGAAAGACGGCTTATAAAATAGGAGGCTATTTACGAATACAAGCAACAGCCTCGGTGATACACATACAAACAGTCCCCGAGTTACGCGGATCCGACCAGGGAGACATACAAACAGTCTCCAGCAGACCAGGGAGAGGAAGCGTCTGGGCTGTCCGCTGCCCGCGTGCTCCGGGGCTTTGCTCTGCTTTGCTCCCCATCCCCCTGGTCTGCAGACCAGGGGGACGGGGAGCAA